AGTAATGTGCAGTATAAAAAATGGTGTTTTTTGAACATAAAACCATGTAAACCTGTTCTGGTACAACTCCTAATAAAATTATAAACCTGAAAATGAGCATGATATGACCACTTTAACTAAGAAATCTTTGAAATACTTTGTAAAAGGTTTATTTGCACATTAAGAAAGCATGCAGTGCAATGTAAATATAAAAGAAAGTGACTTTTGTTTCACATTTCTAACAAAAAAACACAGACCAACTGATTCTAAAATGACCCATAAACATGCATGATCAATAACTTATAACAATATCTTGAAACAGTTTCTTCTTGTCCAAGTTTTCCATTCTCTCCCTGTGAACATGACAAACTGTGTGTGTGACATTTTGTTTCTCTAATGTTGAAAAAGTTTGCAGCATAAAAACAACCAGGCAGTTTAACTTAACATCTAAAGGTAAGGTTGATTTATTGTCTTTACCTAACATTGTTCATGTTATTCTTTAAGTTGTTTCTATTGTCATATTTAGGGCAGTGACATTGAATAAGCCTGTTGTTATCGCTGGGCTGACTTGTATACACTGGTGCTTTCTTTATAGTAGATGTGGTTTTGGTGTTTGCAGGTGTGGATGTGATGTATGACGGTGTTACTTGTGCGTATTTATGCTCATGGGTCTCTGTGTAGTAATATTACGAGAGTATGGTCTAGACCTGCTATGTATAAAAGTGTAATGAGATAACTTGAATTAATTGGCACTAAATAATACTGAATTAAACGCGTTGAGTATTTTGGTATTGTTGACTCTTTAGTAGCCGATGCTCTGCCCTTTTGATGCGCCATTATGCAAAATCTTTCCCAACCTGCTTACTGATCCCTTGTTATTTTCCCTAAAATCGCATTTGCTGAAGACCATTTTTAAACAATGATTTATCTGAGGCCTCATGTCCCCACCACTTTTCAACACAAAATGAAGCCCCTGTGTTTCAACATGTTCTAATGTTGACAGACATGTTTTCTTGTGAAGATCTGTAGCCTTTAGGGGAGAGCGGGGAGATTTGAGCCTGTGGGGAAGTTCAGCCACCCCTTGTTTCTCTGCAACCATAGACAAAATTGGTCATGTGACCAAACATTTTTGAAGAGTCCTCTATTTTACTCACCCTGCACCCTGGAGAGAGGCTCATGGAATAAGTGAAAAGTACATCTAAAATCAAAATACTGTTCAAAGTGTTTTTTTATGTCCTGATTCTTGTGTCTGAACAATTACAGACAGGTTGCGAAAATCTTCTGCATGTGTTAGTGCTTTAGGAAGTTACAATATGAGGCTGTACTGTTAACATGACTTTACCCTTAAAATGCTGGATGACACAATTTTGGCAGGGATGGGGTAATTTGTAATTTGAGTAATTTGAGCAACTGGGGGGAAGTTGAGCCAGATATTTTACTGTAATTTCAAATTGCATTCTTAAGCATCACGGAAATGATGTGACATCATGCATTTTAGACCAGAAACCATCATGCTTCTATGAATGGAAGACAGACAGGCTTCAACTCCTCTTGTGGCTACAGATCTTCACAAGGTTAAAAAATAGGAAGTCCTTTCATCAGGTGGCACGGGACATGATGATGAACAGGATGACTTTAAAGCGATACATTGATATGAAACAACTAGGAGACATGGCTGCGATGTTTCACTATCTAAGTGCAATTGAATGTTGGGACCTGGTGTTTGAGTTTGTACATTTAGCTGACGTTTTTATGCAAAGCGACTTACAATTGCTATTTAGATCAGAGGTTGCACGCCTCTGGAGCAACTAGGGGTTAAGTGTCTTGCAATGGTGGATGTCTCACAGTGGGAATTCAACCCAGGTCTCCCACACCAATCTTATCTATGCGCCATCACCACCGCCATCATTCACAATGATATGACATTATTGTCACCGACCCCCATGTGCCTCAACTTATCCTCTCCCACTTTTTTTTGGAAAACCATATTTTGAAAACAGTTTATTTTAGATCTACATTGATTATTCCCAGGGATGCAACACATCCTAAAATATATGCACATACTTTAGTTGGAGACATTACTGTCATGTCCTCAGTTTAAAGACACCCTAGGTGTTAGTGCCAACAGCTGGTTCAGCTCAAAATAACGGACACACGATGCATGTCAAATTTAATTGAAGTCGATTTTAAAATGGCTCAGAGGCAAGAACATCTCATTTGTTAAATGCCTGTTGCCTCAACTCCTCCACTTGCATCTTGGGTGGGAGGGATGTGAGGAGGTGAGGAACTGAGAAATGAGAAAGGCCTTATGAATAATGTTGTCCAAAGTCAGCCTGAAATAGAAACAGCTGATCACAGAACACACAATTTCTCACACTGATAAATAAAAACAAAAATCCTAAATGATCTAATGAGATTTTTGTTCTCTAAAGGCTTCAACTACTCGTGTAAATGTGCTGTTATTTAACTGCAGTGGAGTCTTTTCTCTGATGAGCCGATGTTGATATGGAAGTTGTTGATCAGTGGAGTCTGACAGAGGCAGAAGGGTCTCCAAAGTTTCATTGTGACAAGTTCCTCCAGCTGACTGACCAGACAGGGAGTGTTTATGTGGTACCCCAAATCCAAAATGTTCCTCTTGACCACTTCAATACAACACAGTGAGTCCTGTTTCTGTTTGTCTTCTTCTATCTATATCCACACTTCAGAATGAAGAGCAGATGTCACAAACACTGGTTTGCTGTGTAAAGTACCAACTGTAAAAACATTATAAACTCACTGTGTTTCATCCATCTGTGTTTTTGTCCCTGAAAAGAAAAGAGAAAGAGTCGACTTTAGTTTCCACAGTGAAAATCCAGCTTTATCAAAACTTCCTGTTTCTGAGTTTCATCTGTGAATGTTCTCACCTTTAGTTCTTGTCCAGATGTTGACTGCCACAACAATTATTATGAGTGCTGCTAAACCCACAGACACAATGATGAACCTCACCCAGTAGAACGATTCTGAAAACATTTTGACGGCAAAGTCTGGAAAAGAAATGAAAACACATTTGTTTAAAACAGTGAGTAAAAGAGAAGAGAAATACACGTTTCAAAAATGTTCCTTTCTTGTTTAAAGGACAGATAAACTATTAGTAGACATTTATCACTAACAGTATATCTCAAGATGCCCACATATTTTTGAAAATACAATCTGCAAGTGGTTCTAAGGGATAGTGGGTTACAGTATAAAACATACTACATACGTAATCTGCATGGGACCACAAAACATTTTATTTTCTTCATGAAACTTATTTCTTCCTGCTGTTGTTTTAGTTTGATGTTGAAGTAACAAAACCAAAGTTAAGAAAATAACTTTTCCATCTTCAGTAAATAAATGACATTCTATATAATATTCTCCACTTGTTTCTCACATGAGGACCAGTGGGTGAATTTCCATGTAGCGCCATCATCAGGTCTAAATTAAACTTCTCTAGTATTTTCGTTTGGGAATTAGACCTTTCCCATCAGCCTGAGCTGTACTTTGTAGTACCTGCTCATTAGCTAACACACTATAATAAGATTGTTAATTTAATATTAAACATTATACCTGCTAAACATCAGCATGTTAGCATGCAGACATTAGCATTTAGCTCAAAGTATCAATGCAGAGGCAAGCATGGCTGTAGACCTATTTGCCTCAATAATGAATATTTTAAATATTTTGGAAAACATTTTAAGACAATATAAGAAAATCAAACCCAGTTGAAAAATTTTTTCTAAAAGATGAACAAGTTCCATATGTTTCTACGAAAATCCCTCATGTTTACCATCTGCTGTTACTAAATGAGAAAGAATGATGTCATCTTAAAAAGTCATCAAATAACAAATGTTTTGGTGGTTTTAGTCATCTTGAACAGTTCAGCATATTCTCACCTGTTTTCTCCTCTGAGGACTGAGGGCTGAAGGTGAACAGCTGCACTTTTCCAGAGTAACCATCTGTCACTTCACACTTCAAGTTAGACTTTGATTTGTAACTAAAACGAGAATCCAGGAAAGACACAGTGGCGTAGCAGAAAGACTGTGATGTCTTCATGTCTTTGTTATCTTTGTCCACATCTTTACCCTCATACAGAAACTTCACTGTGTGTCTACAGTGTTCATATGTCAACACAGAGCAGGTTAACGTCACCTTATCAGCATCCTGATGTTCAGTCACTGGTGAAGATGGAGATATTGTGAGAGAAAGACAACAAGAGTAAAGTTAACTTCATCACTGTGATCATAATTATTGTAATGTTTCAGTATATTGTTCTAACAAGACAGTTTGAGCTGAAAACATTATGATGGAAATACTCACTGTTAATAACAGACAGAAGAACCTGAGAGTCTGGAGCTTGTTGTTGTCCTGATTTGTACTGTTGACAGATGTAAGGACCAACATCCTTGATTGTGACCTTCTTTATAACCAGAGAACAGTTCTCTGTAGCTTTGGTGTTTTCACCAAGTTCAACCAGCCTTATTTCCGAACGCAAAAAGAGCCATGTAGTAAATTCACATTTTTGCTGACCGTCTATCACATTTTCACAAGGCAAAGTGACTTCATCTCCAACTCTGACAGTGAAGGAGAGGGGAAGTTTTCCAGCTGCTGCTGTTGAGAAAATGATGAAAAATAAAGTGAAATGAGAAAATGTCTGTTATGTTCATAGTTAGTGACGATTATTTCTTTATCCTTAGTTTCCAAGAGTTCACTAAACTCACCACATTAGAAACAACAGATTTGGTTTTCTTAGTTAAATCAAATGTAGCTAATAAAAAATCTTTAATAATATTGATCAAGTTATTTTTTACAATGTGCCTTCCATTTATATATGTGATATATGTATTCTTACCTGTAAACTGAAGCACCGCTGGAAGAAATAAAGAAATCCATTTGAACTCAACCATCATGATTCTCTGAGTCTCTCCTTCTTCTGTCTCTTGTTCTCGTGCTCAGAACTGTCTGAGTTTCTAAACTAGTGCTTTAGTAGAGAGACGCAGGAGCTACTTCCTGTGGTTAGGATGATGTCACTTCCTCATAGTGACTTTTAGTCTGTTTTAGATTTCAGTCTCTGAATTTCTTGTCGATGTCTGAACAGCCAAAAACTCTGTTACAATTTTCACTTTTACATTTTTGAAATGTAGTTTTCTCTCATCCACTGTGACTGACAGAGACCCCAAATTATTGATCAGCAATATGAGATGCAGCCAACGGGGTTCACACTTTGTCCAGTCCCACAGTGTATTTGTGACAAAGATGTGTTTCACCTCCTGAAACGAACAACAGGAGGAAGTTGACGGAGTGAAGATTGTTAGTTAAGAGAAATGTTTGCAATATTGCAACTCTATTTGGCAGATCTGAGATCTGCTGGTTCCTCATTGCATCTTTGCAGTTCTTTTTGTTCAGAGATCTAAAGAGGAAGTGTTTCAGTGAGAATGTTGTTAACAACAGCAGCAGAGCTCTGCGGGTTTTACCCTCTTATGATGACCAGGTAAACATCAGAAACACATGAAGTTTTCTTCAGGCCTTACCATTATCCTTCCAGTGGGTCGGCCTTGTACTTATACTCCATGTTTGTGCTACTGACGAAAATACTGTAAACTTTCAGACAACCACTGCATCTCACTTGAAGTTTAAACGAGGCTCCTACACATAGGAGCAGTACTCTACAATGTTTCTTTATATTCATAAGTTGTATTAGTTATTTAAGATGATCAAACTTTCTGCCCTTCATTGTTTGTTCTAACCATATTCCTCAATGACATTTCACCTTGAAATAATCATTATTGATTTTTTTTATGGATGGGCAGGCTGGTCATAAAATGAACGTTGTGAATAGTAGGTTCTCCTCATTAAGAGAGGGGCTGTGCCCATTTACACGTGAGGCACACCAGCATAACTTCACACTTAAACTTCCCATCACACTGACGGGATCAACCTTTTTTTATGGAAACATTTCTAATTATGATCACCTATGTAAGAAATAATAATAATAATAATCTTTATTTATAGAGCAGTTTTCAAAACAATGTTACAAAGTGCTTTATAAAACCATTATAAATTATTCTTTTAAATATCTAAGGCTATTCTAAAACATACTGGGAGCCAGTGTAATGAAGCTAAAACAGGGGTGATGTGATCATATTTCTTTTGTCTGGTTAAAAGCCTGGCAGCTGAGTTCTGGACAGTCTGGAGTCGATCAACAGATTTTTGGGTTAAGCAAGTAAAAAGGCTGTTGCAGTTCCAGGCAAGATGAGATGAAGATGTGTAAAATGGTCTCAGTGTCCTTAAAAGTTAACATTGATTGTATTTTTGATTTCTAAGATGGTAAAAACATGATTGAACAAGCTTTGTGGTGTGCTGCTCAAAACTTAAATTACTTTCAAACCATACACCAAGATTCAACAGGCCTGATATGATCCATTAGGGAACCAGCAGATAGCAGTATTTTCTTTGCCATTTGCTGGGACCCAAGGACCAGGATCTCTGTTTTGTCTGAGTTCAGCTGGAGGAAATTATTCGACATCCAATTTTTGACTTCACAGAGGCAGTCGGTAAGTGAACTCAGCATTCAAGCGTCTGTGCATCTGACAGGCAGGTACATCTGTGAGTCATCAGCATAAGCATGAAAAGAGACACCATGTTTCTGAATAAGGTGTTCAGGGGGAAGCATATATAAATAAAATGGGTCCCAGGATTGACCCCTGAGGCACACCACCGAACAGAATAAAGAGACATAGTTATTCACAGAGACACAGACCCTACTATTTGACAGGTAGGATGAAAACCATTCTAAAGCAGGACCAGAGATCCTCACCCAGTGCCTCAGTCTGTCTAACATGATGTTGTGATCAATGGTGTTCCTGTTTAATGAAGTTGAAATCCAGCTGCTGTGTTCTGGACTGGCTGCAGAAAATTTTCACAACCGATGCAGGAAAAGACTTTTATATAGATTTTTATAAAACTCATAGTGGGCTTCCTAATATGAGATGAAATCCAGACTTGAACATTGTGTCCAAAGCCAGGAGTCTTTTCTCTGATGAGCTGATGTTGATATGGAAGTTGTTGATCAGTGGAGTCTGACAGAGGCAGAAGGGTCTCCAACGTTTTCATAGTTCACCACACCATCATCTTCATCAGTATTCACCGGTGAAACACAAACAAACCCTCACTCTGACACACTTTAACTGACAACTTTCACATCACTGACCCACATTTAACACAAGGAGTTAAGAAATAACCTGACAGCACCTGAACGCACCATCAGTTACTGTTACATATTTTTGCCACTTACAACTGTTTTTGTGGTAACAAAGGACATGCAGAAGGAAATTAAGTAATTAGTTAAATAAAAGTACCAAACTGTCACATGTTCCTCCAGCTGATTGACCAGAGAGGGAGTGTTTATGTGGTACCCCAAATCCAAAATGTTCCTCTTGACCACTTCAGTACAACTCAGTGAGTCTTGTTTCTGTTTGTCTTCTTCTATCTATATCTACACTTCAGAATGAAGAGCAGATGTCACAAACACTGGTTTGCTGTGTAAAGTACCAACTGTAAAAACATTATAAACTCACTGTGTTTTCATCCATCTGTGTTTTTGTCCCTGAAAAGAAAAGAGAAAGAGTCGACTTTAGTTTCCACAGTGAAAATCCAGCTTTATCAAAACTTCCTGTTTCTGAGTTTCATCTGTGAATGTTCTCACCTTTAGTTCTTGTCCAGATGTTGACTGCCACAACAATTATTATGAGTGCTGCTAAACCCACAGACACAACGATGAACCTCACCAAGTAGAACGATTCTGAAAACATTTTGTTGGAAAATAAATTAAAACAAAACACAAACCAATTAACTAATAGAGATATTCTATATAACAATCTCTACTTCATTCTCACATGAGGAGCAGAGGGCGAATCTTCATCTAGCGCCATCATCAGGTCAGAATTTGAATTTGTCTAATATTTTAGTTTATGAACAAACACCTGATAAGCTAATGGCATTTTCATCAGCCTCAGCTTTTGGATTTTATTGTTGCATTGATCAAAAATCTTTTGGAAAGAATCTACTTCAACACTATTAAACACTGCAGTTATACATTTAATGACTTTATTTTTTGTTTATTTTCCCATTCTCCGAGCCCGCCACACATTACAGAACATTTAGAGAGTTTGCCCACATCACCAAAACGTTCAAAACTGCCACAGTCAACATACATCTACATTATAAACAAATCTACAGTATTCGTGTATAAATTACATTCACAATTCTTATTGGAGTTAACTTAATTAGCAGAGTTTCAGGAGCAGGACCACACATCAATCACGTCATTGTCAGCATTTCCATAAATACTCATGCGTCCTATCTCCTCTTCTTCGCTCTCATATTCTGCACCCGAAATAAATTCTATATATGATTATTTGATTGTCAGTTGTTGACTAAAAACATATGTTGATACAACTATCAGTGGGGGCTTCGGCACCGAGATGTAAGCGTCCCTCACTGCCAACTTCCAACAAAAAGAGCAGTCGTATACCTCTAGCAACCACAGCAGCCGATCTCAGGGGCAAGGCGCTGGGATGCCACCGCCCCCGCTGCACACTTCCAACAACTACAGCAGCCAGTCCCAATAGGGGCTCCCGGGACCAAGATGCCATCACCCCAGTTATACCCCTCTAGGAACCGGAGCAGCTGATTTCAGCAACCGACTTCAGCCGGGGCACGGGGATGCCAGCGCCCCCGGCTGCCCGCCATCAACCAACTACAGCAACCGACTTCAGCCGGCGCTCCGAGCACCGGGATGCCAGCGCCTCAGCCATACACTTCTAGCAAACACAGCAGCTGGCTGCAGTAGGGGATTTTGGCACAGAGATGCTAGTGCCCCCCACTGAACCCTACCAACAACCTTAGTAGCAGGCTTCAGTAGGGGCTTTTGGCACCAGTCGTTTAAAGCTCACAGTCGTTTCGAGCTAACATCCGGCTAACAGTTGTTTCGAGCTAAACAACTCAGTCATTTCGAGCTAAAACCTGGCTCAAAGTCGTTTCGTGCCAACATCTGACCAATAGTCGTTTTGAGCTAACATCCGGCTAATGTTCGTTTGAGCTAACATCGGGTTCACGTCATTTCGAGCTCACAGTCGTTTTGTGCGAATAGTCGTTTCGAGCTAATGGACATTCTAATCAAAAGTTAGTTCAAGTTAAAGTTGGTTCTACCTAACAGTCGTTTTCAAGCGAACATCGAGCTAACATTCATTTTGATCAGACGTTTTGAACCAAAGTTTTTTTGCGTTAAAGTTGTTTCGATTGACTTCTAGCAACTACAGCAGCTGGCTTCAGTAGGTGCTTAGGCACCGGGATGCCAGCACCCCAGCAACCAGTTCCGGGATGCCTGCTACCCGCTGCCCACTGTCCATTACACAGAACCATCTGAAGTAATCATCGGAACCAGATATGAAGGAACGGACACTTTGTGTTGTTCTTTCCTCATGTTGTAATAAAGAATACTCTCCAGTTCCGATATAACTGATGCTAGCAGCATACATGCTAACCCCTTTGGTATAGTCATTTGAGCGACCGGGATGCCAGAGCCCTCCGGTGCTTACTCCTGTCAGTCATTGCTAATCTGAGTGCATCAAAAGGTTGAGCGAACAGTCGTTTGGCGCAAATAGTCTTTTCAAACGAGAAGGGGCTTTCCCTCTGTTCACTTCCAGTCATCAGTTAGCATTCTCACTTCTAATACACGTCATCACACGCCTGTCATTAGGACATGGCAGTACTTCCTCATAGGACGCCATTGGCACACCAAACGATGACAATTCTAGCTGCCTAGCATGGTTTAGTAACTGTGGGAGTTTGCTCTAGCAAGAGCTCCAGGAACCGCGATGCCAGCACTCCCAGCAGTCCACTCCCAGCAAGCCACGAACAACTGTGTCACCCCACAATACCAATTGTACACTGCTGCCACTCATTCTGCAGGTTTTTTTGGTGGTTCTATAGGGAAAGATGATTGGCAGCAGAATGGTCCCCGAAACTTTACCATCAACAGCATAGCTCTCTCTCGCTTTACAGGTAAGCTTGAAGAGCTTCAGCCACCATCACAACTACTACATCATAACATTCCTAAGTTTTGATTTTGTCACCACATCTTGTTTCATCAGCTACGCCCAATTCATGATGACCATAAAACGCACTTTACCTCAGCTGCACTAGCCTCTTTTCCAAACTTCTAACTGGTGTGTCCAGCCTCTAACTATTATCAGATAACCTTACTACTTAGAGGTCTTCAGTGTCAAGAGCCGTCTCAAGACTACATCGAGCACCTGATACATAAATGCACTGCTGGTACTCCCGAGCATCCCATCATCACATTTGTTCAGATCTCAAGGGTGTCACATTATCCAACGCTCTCTCAAATTACTAGAAGTTTTTTGGGGGTCTGTCGTGCCTGGGTGCTATGGCGGATTTCCCTATCGCATCTTCCCCACAACGCTTTCGAATATCTATTCAGCAAGCCTTGCACATCTTTCGGTTTCGATCATCAATAAATCATTTAATCATATTGATTGGATGGTCTTTGCTAGTGAAGTGAAGCTAATTAGAGTTTCAGGAGCGGGACAACACATCAGTCATGTCATTGCCAGCATTTCCATAAATACCCACATGTCCTATCTCCTCTTCCTCGCTCTCACCATCTGCAGCCCTCCCCCACCCATTTCTCTGTCCTGCCTCCTGATCCCTGTTATGGCAGAAAATTGTGTCCTCTTACATTTAATCTTTTATGCATGTTCTTTTACTATTATTATTATGTATTGTGTTTTATCCTTAACCTTTCCTCTCCTAAACTTCTTATGTTAGTCTGTCCACATTTACTAGAGTTTAGGTCAGAGCTGTGAGATTGTTTTGGTGCTTTCCCTCTCTTGTTGTTCCTCTCCTGGAATGTTCATTCAAGGCTTCTTCCTCTCGGGTTATTTCCCTATCACATGTCTATTCAGCAACTGCAAGTCTCATACATCTTTCCGTTTTAATCATTAATAAGTCATTTAATCGTATAGATATAGGTTAGAAAATTCCTCATGTTTACCATCTGCTGTCACTAAATGAGAAAGAATCATGTCATCTTAAACAGTGACCAGATAAACAAATGTTTTGGTGGTTTTAGTCATCTTGAACAGCTCAGCATATTCTCACCTGTTTTCTCACCTGAGGACTGAGGGCTGAAGGTGAACAGCTGCACTTTTCCAGAGTAACCATCTGTCACTTCACACTTCAAGTTAGACTTTGATTTGTAACTAAAATGAGAATCCAGGAAAGACACAGCGGCGTAGCAGCCAGACTGTGATGTCTTCATGTCTTTGTTATCTTTGTCCACATCTTTACCCTCATACAGCCACTTCACTGTGTGTCTACACTATCCATGTGTCAACACAGAGCAGGTTAACGTCACCTTATCAGCGTCCTTACGTTCAGTCACTGGTGAAGATGGAGATATTGTGAGAGAAAGACAACAAGAGTAAAGTTAACTTCATCACTGTGATCATAATTATTGTAATGTTTCAGTATATTGTTCTAACAAGACAGTTTGAGCTGAAAACATGATGGAAATACTCACTGATAATAACAGACAGATCAACCTCAGAGTCTGGAGCTTGTTGTTGTCTTGATTTGTACTGTTGACAGTGATAATAACCATCATCCTCATCTGTGACCTTCTTTATAACCAGAGAACAGTTCTCTGTAACACTCAGTCTGTCTGATTTAGCTTTGGCGTTTTCACCAATCTGCCCAAGTTCAACCAGCTCTGCTGCCGCTGTGTATCCTGAACCAACAAAGATCCATCTAATATATTCACATTTTTGCTGACCGTCTATCACATTTTCACAAGGCAAAGTGACTTCATCTCCAAATCTGACAGTGAAGGAGAGGGGAAGTTTTTCAGCTGCTGCTGTTGAGAAAATGATGAAAAATAAAGTGAAATGAGAAAATGTCTGTTATGTTCATAGTTAGTGACGATTATTTCTTTATCCTTAGTTTCCAAGAGTTCACTAAACTCACCACATTAGAAACAGATTTGGTTTTCTTAGTTAAATCAAATGTAGCTAATAAAGAATCTTTAATAATATTGATCAAGTTATTTTTTACAATGTGCCTTCCATTTATATATGTGATATATGTATTCTTACCTGAACTGAAGCAGCGCTGTAAGAAATAAAGAAATCCATTTGAACTCAACCATCATGATTCTCTGAGTCTCTCCTTCTTCTGTCTCTTGTTCTTGTGCTCAGAACTGTCTGAGTTTCTAAACTAGTGCTTTAGTAGAGAGACGCAGCAGCTACTTCCTGCGGTTAGGATGTCACTTCCTCATAGTGACTTTTTGTCTGTTTTAGTTTTCAGTCTCTCTAAATTCCTTGTTGACGTCCAAAAACTCCTTTACATTTTTTAAATGTAGTTTTTTCTCATCCACAGTGACTGACAGAGACCCCAAATTATTGATCAGCAAAATGAGATGCAGACTTTAGTAAAGAGGTCACAGCAGCTTGACATCCACCGTCTACTAACACATACGACAAAGTCACTGATTACATGGCAAAGGAATATGTTTCTACGGTCATTGAACTAATTTAACGGGGAATCTGTCACAAATCCTCCCAGCTCATAAACTTCATGTAGTTTTGTCTCAGTTTTTGTATCAGTAAACAAATTCTCCTGTCATTTCAGATTCCAGTTCTTCCTCCTGCCTGATCATCACCCAACTCCCCTCACCTGGTTGTTCCCACCTATCTCCTCACCTGCAGCTCATTTCCCCCCATCAGTCTCAGTACTTATGCCAGCCCCTCTTCTCTTGCTCCTTATCAGATGGACTAGTGTCTTCTGTCTAGTTATCCAGGGTTCTGCCTGACCTGCTAGTGTTTGACCCTGTTGGACTGTTTTCTAGACATTTCTCCTACTGCCTGTTTGGATTCGTTTGCCTTCTTCAGACTGATTTTCTGGTGTTCTGTGTCAAGTGAAACTGACCTTGGTCTTTTTATTGCCTGTCTATGAGTCTTTCTTCTGTCTTCAGTTCAGCCAGTTTCCTCTGAGATATGACGGTAACAAATAAACTATATTAAGATCTTTACTCTCAATAGTCTCAAGTTCACACTTTGTCCAGTCCCACGGTGTTTATTTCGCAATGATGTGTTTCACAACCTGAAAAGAAGAAGAGGAAGTGTTTTAGCGAGAATGTGTTTAACAACAGCAGCAGAGCTCTGGAGGTTTTACCCTCTAATGATGACCAGATAAACATCAGAAACACATGAGGTTTTCTTCAGGCCTCGTACTTGTTACCATTATCCTTCCAGCGTGTCTGCCTTGTGCTTGTTGTCCATGTTTGTCCTGTCTATTTAATAAAACTTGCCTTGCTTGCGTATGTCACCAATGTTATCAGGTAGGTGAGGAGGCACAGAGAGGACTCGAGGAGGTACAAAGTGAGAAATTAGAAAGGCTCCTTGATTTTATCTGCTCCCTGCTTGAACATGACACTGGAAGGTTAGATGTCCCCCAGAGGAGGGAGGTGGTTCTACTAGTAGAGGCAGAACATTCACAGTAAAGAATATTCACTTCCCATTATGACACTGTTAGTACATGAAGAAACCACAATACACAGTGCAGAATTAAGTGGTAAACATTTCTTTATTTGCGGATTATACTACTATTATCAGATATAATAAAGAGAAGATTATTACGGACTCCATGTAGTCTGAAAATGACGATTTAAGGAAGTTAACAAGACTTAAATGCTCGTAAAACGCAGTGGTTTTTTGATATGAGATGAAATCAAGACTTGAATATTCAGACTAAAATAGAAATGGCTGAGCACAAAACACACTAAAATGTCTCAATTGATAAATAAAAACAATAATCAGTAATAAAAATTAAAAAATGATCTCTGTAAAGCAGTGCTTGAAGTGGGCTGGTTCTTATCGATAGAGTACCGGCACTTCTACATTTCACTCTTTGGCGTCACAGGACTTTCTCGCTCTTTTCATATCAGGTTGTCTGGGCACTATGTGACGCTCACCTGTCTGAGGAGCCAGAGGAGGGAGAAGCTCGGGTGCCTTTAATGCAGCCGTGTGCATAAAGTTGCTCGTCAATGTCACTTTTCGTGAATCCACCAATCACAGCCTGGATGGGCGGGACATTAAAACAGCGATTTTGAAATGAGATATTCCTTTATTTATCCACTGTGGAGGAAATTCAAGTAAAAAATGTTAATCTCATTGTTAACCATGAATGGTTATGATCAGAGACCACAAATGATCTTCCTCAGATAAAAGTAGCCTAATGGTGCTTTCAGACCAAAAGCGTAGCGAGTGTTCGGGGCGGTGAGTGTACAAACAAAGTCATTACCAAGACGCTTAGAGCCTCGATTTCCTGTTGGGCAGCGCGAAGGGGGCGGTGCTGGCGACGCGAAGAAATTCGCACGAGTTGAATATTTTCAATTCAAGCAAGAAATTCGCATGACGCTGAGTTGCGTCAGAGCGTTGTGTGGAGAGGGCCAGGCAGAGCGGGCGATTGAAAATCTGCTGGCCGGCGGAGAGCTGCTAAACTAGGGGGAGAGTAGCTGGGAACAGCTCTCTAGCATTTGGACAAATAAAGACACGTAGTCGGGCTGGATTACGCTCTGACAACTACGGCGTTTGCTTGCGGGAGGAGCTAGGAGTAAACTGCTTTTATTAAATTAGCTTTTTACTTTGGTTTTTAGGATTACAACGTTGATTTATCTTCACTCGAGCTTCTCAGCAGCTAGATTCCGTGCACATCCGGTTCCAGTGTTGTTAGCGTCATTTGGCACTACTTCATATTTATTTAAAACTGGACATTGCTGGGAGAAAAGATAGCGAGGAGGTTGAACTACCTGGTGACTTTACAGTGACCAAGTTAGCATAGCATAGCCCTGATTGATCCAAACTCCATTCAGAAAACAAACATTTTAGAAGTTGCTGTTCTGCTTACATGCTGACAGACCTGAAAAAGCATGATTTTATATGTTTAGCAAATCTGCATCAAATTGTAATTATTTGGCATCAGTTTGATCTCTTTATTGCTATTAAATCACAGCAAAACGTTTACTTTAGGTTCATACAGCTGTAGTAATGACGAGTTGTGTTTATACAAGAGAGTGCTGCGTGGATTATATTCGCGTCTGAATACCGCGTAAGAAAAGAACACACCTGTGTTTAACATGCAGTGCATTTTAAAATATTGAAGCATTATCTCCTAATTAGATTTTTTTGCTAAATGCTAATTAAGAATGTATATTTTTTAAACCATCCAGACTGTAATATTAATGTAGTATTTTGTGATCACACTTGAACAACCTGGTGTAAATGTGGCAGGTTATCTAATCAGAAAAGGATGACTTATCATCTCACCACAAATAAATACAAGTGCATCCTTTTGACTGATGTAGACTATCATTAGCTGAAGAAATGTCAGACACATTGCAAAGTAACAGTACTTTAACTTTTACTTTGGTGTGGAAGACCGGAGTTCAAATGCCACTGTGACCATCCACCAATGTGTCCCTGAGAAAGACACTTTAGGCAATTTTAAGTCACTTTGTATAAGTGGCACTACCAGCAGAGTTTCAGGAGCGGCACCACACATCAATCACGTCACTCCCAGCATTTCCAGAAATGCCCACACGTCCGATAGCGATAGTGATATCCTGATAGTCATTGTCTGAATTATTCGGACGGACTCACGACACTTTCAACGTTCACGTCGGCAGACCCAGCAACAGAAGCCGAACTCTTGTCCTCCGTCTCCACGCTTGAGACCCCGCTTTCCACAACCCCAAAGCCAGCGAGGAAGTGAGCGAGTCCAGCTTTAACTCCATCTCTTCCACGGTCCAAGTCTCCTCAACAATCAGGAACATTTCAACCGATGAATCTTTAGCCTCTCATCAAACAGCCCCCTGCTGGACACTTCCAAAAACTACAGCAGCAAGTTCTATAGGGGCCCCCGGCACAGAGATGCCAGCTTCCCCAATCATACACCTCGAGCAACCTCAGCAGCCGGTTTCAGTAGGGGCTCAGGCACCAGGATGCCCACTGCCCACTCTCAGCAAACGCTAACTCACCAGATGGTCTGTTGCGCAGGTCCATCCAAAGTCATTGTCTGAAACAGTTTTGACAGGACAGATACTTGTGCTTTTTTTTTTGCTCATTTGCTTATTTCAATAATCATCTTCATTTCTGACA